AAAAGTTTCTGCAAACAATATGAAAAAAAAACATGTAAAATTCGGTAAATGGCTTTATTGTTTTTCGAAGTATTCGCCTTTAAGATCGATACATTTTTGCATACGCTCGAATCAATTTTCGAAGCATTTTTTCCACTCTAAAGTTGTAACCTCAGAAATCAGTGTACGAAATGTTTCAACAGCTGCTTCAGGCGACTCAAATCGCTCACCACGCATCTTATTTTTAATGTTTGGGAACAAAAAGAAGTCATTAGGTGATAAATCAGGTGAATACGGACACTAAGTCATCAATTCGACATTATTACTGGATAAAAAATCAAGTTTGACGTGCTGTATGACAGCTGGCATGATGAAGGATGATGCGACGATTTCGGTTTGTTCTACGCAATTCATTTATGACTTCTGGCAAACAAATTGTTGTATACCAATCAGTATTTACAGTCCTTCGATCCTCTAAAGCCACGGTTGTCACATGTCTGGTATAACCGAAGAAACAAACAATCATTTGCTTGGCAGCACTGCGTGAACGAACAACTTTTGTTGGTTTCGGTTCATTTTGAAATACCTAAACAGTGGATTGTTGTTTACTTTCGGGAATAGGAATAGATCCATGTTTCGTCCCCAGTAACAATGTTGTAGACCAAATTTGACCGACCTCGGTTGAATTTCTTGAGCATTTCTTTGCTCCATTTAACACGAGCCTGTTTTTGAGCTTCGGTCAAATTATGTGGGATCCAACGAGTGCAAAGTTTTCGCTCAATTGATCATGCAAAATCGTATGTATTGCTTTCATGTCAATGCCTAAGGATGCCTGAATTTCGCGGTATGTTATATGCCGGTCTCGCTCAATCATTTCATGTACAGCATTAGTGGCAACAACAGACGTGGATGGACGACCTTCACGGAATTCATCACTAAGAAAGATACGTCCACGCTGGAATTCGGCAAACCAATTATAAACAGTCCTATTGGGTGGTTCTTCATCCCCAAAAGCCAAATGAAGTCGATCGATACATTGTTTCGGAGTTAGATTACATTTGTAATCGTAAAAAATCATTACCCAAAAATTTTCACGCGAAATTTCCATTTTCTTACAAAATAACTTCTTTAAAATACTATGCAAACAAAACTAATTGACTTAGGTACAAACTGTCAATTGAATTATAGGTTAAAAACATCTAATTTTACGGATACGATAGTAGCAGAACGTTGGCGCCACTGGAAGTACTAGATTGCAGAAACTTTTCCAACAGCCTACGTAATAGACAATCACTAATCGCACGTATCGCGGGGCTCGAGGGTTTGCAGGCATTTGTACGCGGAAGATTCGTACATGTGGGCGGTGCGTACGGACTCCGTTGACGCGTCATCGAAACGGTATTCGAAAGTTGTATTTTGATGGATGCGGTGATAAACTCTAAACATATCGAGCCTCGCCGATTCCTCAAAGATGCGAGCGGAACTGTGTTCGAGCGTGTGCAGTGTAATGCAACGATATAACTTTATAAACATTGTTTTTAATGGCGAGTTTATGGGTAATAAACGCACAATCAAAAGAAAAGTTAGCACCACATTTTTAAAAATTGGAAATTTTATTAACAGTTCTGCTTGCACCTGCAATAATTCTACAATTCCTACTGGTTTTTATAAATACGAGTAGTTCCGTTGATTTAGCTAAAAAAAAAAAGATTATGAGGCGCTAATTCTGCGTGGCACTTTAAGATTCAGAAAAAATTGATTTTTATTATAGAATCTTATAGTTCTCGGAGGATTCTACAGTTCATGATAAATATTAACAATAGTTTAGGTCCCTAAACATTTTTAAATAAATTTTAAATTTAAGAGCGGGCACCTCAAGTTTCACAAAAATGAATTCTGGAATTCTTTTGTTCTCGAAGAGTACAACAGTTCCTGATAAGTTTTATTAACAATTACGACTTTCAAATATTTTTAAACAATTTTTTAATCTGGACGCTGACACCGCACATTAAGAATCTTTTAACAGCCAATTCCAGCCGACTTTTTGGCATATTCTGATAGTTCTACAACAGTTCCGAAGATTTCTATAGATTTTGTTCAGAGTTCCTTTAAGTATTTTTAAACAATTTTTTAATCTAAGCGCTGGCACTGCACACCAACAGTAAAGTACCTATTAACAGTCGACTTTTTGGCATTTTTCGATAGTCCTACAATAGTTTGAACGATTTATGTAGATTACGGTCAGAATTTCAACAATTAAATATTTTTAAACAATTTTTTAATCTGAGCGATGGCACCGCATCTCAGGCGTAAAGTATTTCTTAATAGTCAGTTCCAGCCGACTTTTTGGCATTCTTTGATAGTTCTACAATAGTTCCAACGATTTATGTAAGTTTCGATCAGAGTTCCGACATTTAAATATGTTTAATCAATTTTTTAATCTAAGCGCTAGGACCGTACCCCAAGAGTAAAGTACCTCTTAACAATCAGTTCTAGCCGGTTTTTTTGACATATTCCGATAGTTCTACAATAGTTCCACAGATTTCTATAGATTTCGTTGAGAGTTACAGCTTTTAAGTATTTTTAAATAATTTTTTAATCTGAGCGCTAGCACCGCATGTCAAGAGTAAAGTACTTTTTAACAGCGAGTTCCTCCCGATTAAAAAAATTTTTTTAGTAGTTCTGCAATCCAATTTGTTTTACAATCCAATTCCAAATTTTAAATAAAGCGTTTTAAAAACTAGACTTCAATCTTTATACTGACTTGAATAACGAAATAATATTTTTTGCAACTCCGTAGCACCTTATTCTTGTGAAACAGTTCGGAACAAGACATTTTGGAACAAGAAATTGCTTATAAATATTTAAAGGCCAAACATATTGATAAAACGTTAGTAGAAACTGTTAAAACTATTGCAGAACTATTGGAAAAAATTAAAATATCGGGAGAAATTAGCTGTTAAAAAGTACTATGCTTTACTCTTGTCATGCGGTGCTAGCGCTCAGATTAAAAAATTGTTCAAAAATATTTAAATGCCGAAACTCTGACTGAAATATATATATATCTTCGGAATTGTTATAAAACTATCGGAATATGCCAAAAAGTCGGCTGGAACTATCTGTTAAGAGGTACTTTACTCTTGGGGTGCGGTGCTAGCGCTTTACATTAAAATATTGATTGAACATATTTAAATGTCGGAACTCTGACCGAAACCTATATAAATCTTCGGAACTATTGTAGAACTATTGAAAAATGTCAAAAAATCTGGCTAGAACTGGCTGTTAAGAGGTACTTTACTCTCGGGATACGGTGTCAGCGCTCAGATTAAAAAATGGTTTCAAAATACTTAAAGGCTGGAACTCTGAACAAAATCCATAGTAATCTTTGGAACTGTTGTAGAACTATTGGAATATGCCAAAAAATCGGCTGAAACTGGCTGTTAAGAGGTACTTTACTCTTGGGGTGCGGTGCCAGCGCCCGGGTTTAATAATCATTAAAAAATACTTAAAGACCAAAATTATACGCGAAATCCATAGAAATCTTCGGAACTATTGTAGAACTATTGGAATATGCCAAAAAGTCGGCTGGAACTGGCTGTTAAGAGATACTTTACTCTTGATGTGCGATATCAGCGCCCAGATTAATAAATTATTTAAAAATATTTGAAAGCCGTAATTGTTAGTAAAACTTATTGGGAACTGTTGTACTCTTCCAGAACAAAATAATTCCATAATAAAAATTCATTTTTGTGAAACTGAGGTGCCCGCTCTTAAATTTGAAATTTATTGTATTTACAAATATTTAGAGATTGAAACGATTGTTAATATTTATCAGGAAATATAGAACTCTTCAAGAACTATAAGATTTCATAAGAAAAATCAACTTTTTCGAATCTTGAGAAAAAAAAATAAGAATATAAGATGCCACGAGGAATTAACATCTCATATTCTTATTTTTGTTTTATGTTAAATCAACGAAATTATTTATAAAACCTAGCAGGAATTAGAACTATTGCGGGGCCAAGCAGAACTGTTAATAAAATTTCCGATTTTGAAAAATAAGATGGTGACTTCACAGAAACGACAATGTCACTGTAATTACACGAACTTTCGTACAAAATAGTCTTACCAACAGATTAAACAAATTTTTCCATCTATTATATGTTAATATTCTTCATACCTAATAATATTGCATTATAATGTTATATTTAATAGTTATGGAAACACAGGTAAGTTTTGTATAAGTAATTACATTGAGCAAATTAATTGAATAACAATAATTTATAAAAATTTGTTTTTATCAGAATCTGGTAATCCCATGTTTAACAAGCATCAAGAAATAATTCTTAATCTCACTGTCAAAAAGATTAAAAAAACGGGATTTTTGAAAAATTTTTTTGTATTTTGATATCTTAATGCGCAATTTAACATTTAACATTTTCTTTATTGTACTAATGATAGTTACGTCTTGACCGGAACATTTACATGTAAAATTTTTAAATACATGACTATGCGATAAACATCTTACGTATGTGGCTGTATGCTTTTTCTTATTTATGTTATTATTTTTTAACGTTTATTTATATACATAACTCTGCGACATTATGTATATTTCTTATAAGAAATTTGCTTTAATTTTATCCGTTTTTTGTCAACTTTAATTTAATTTAAAGATAATGAAATAATTTAATCTAAAATGTTAAATATTAAAAGACTCCTTTGATTCAAATATAAGTAAGAAAATTGTTCAGGGTCATATATAGGAGTTAAACGTAAGTTTTAAAGCGAGACTACATTTAATTATATGGTATTAATATGATAAAATTTGAAGAACGTTTCGACTTTAGATTTGAGTCATCTTCGGCTTAAGATAATACAGGAAATAGGCACAGGGAATTCAGGGAATAACGAGCTGTCCAATTAGAGCTCTGGGATATAATATCAAACTTACACATCAGAGTTCTGATTGGACGGTTCGTTATTCCCTGTTGCCTTGACGCGCAAATAAATTATATCTTCACCTATACACGTAGCGATGATGATAGACGATTTCACGGATTAGTTGTCGTTCTCGCATCTTGAAATTTTCCTTCGAGTTACTATATTTCCAAGCCTCTCGCAACGATTCTGGCAACGTACGAGTACGATAGCAGAGTATATCTAGCTGGGCGCAGATCTGGATCATAAAACCAGAAATAAGAGTCTCGTGGGCAACGCTGGCGTTCGCGCAAAGTATTAGTGCGATGGTTTGATGCAATATAGTTGCCCAGAAAGCGGTCGTTGACGAGATATCATAGGGCACCCAATCGTACAGAGGTAAGGTCCGAGTGCTGATGAAGTATCGCAATTGAGCGACCGTGGCGAAGAAGGCAGCAGATTCGTTCAATATCTCACAGTATATGGTGATTATCCTAGAAAAACATTGAAGAAATATTAGAGAAATATTGGAGGAATGTTAGTGATGTAACATGATAGATGGCACTTCTGAAGCAAGAGAGTTTTCCTCTTTATACTCTCAGTATATAGCCAGTTGCGATTGTAAAACACAAGCAATAAACATTTCATAAAACACTCTGCAAAGTCATTATTAAAACGCACTCATTACATGGTGTCAGAATAAATTTGGATTAAAAATATAATATAAAAATGGCAAATAATGAGCAACAGATTAACAACGATGCAATCGGAATTTGAATTAATAACCGTTATCGATAATATGGAAACTATTATATAAAGCAACAATTCGACTTTTATGCGATTTTTATACAACTCAGCACAAAGCATACAATTTGCAATTTTTATGTCGGTAATTGGAAGTTACGTCCTAACAATATATAATACATTCAAGTTTACGCAAGGGCAAGAGAATAACCTACAACTCACGTAGCACAACAGCGTGTCCAAAGCGCTTTGGGAGCGCTCTTGCGAATGCACCTCCAAAAACTGCTGTCAGTTAGGCACTTTCATTGCATGTGAATAACAGATTTCTAATTATTTTGATCAAAACATGATTATGTGCTTTTAAAGTGCTTGCACTTTAGAAGCGATTCAGAAGCGTTTTTTAAGCACAGTAACATTGAGATTTTATTATAGATATTAGTTAAAAAAATTTTATTTGATATTAAAATGAATAAAAAATTAATTTGTTGAAAACTTTCTAGAATATATATCTAAATATACAAGTATGAATGTCACGGATAGTTTCAGTGTTAAATATACAATATATAATAACTATAATATCACACACATACACGCACACACACACACACGCGCGCGCGCATTTTGGATGTCTGGAGGAAGTATTGTAAGAACTTATACACAGATAAACTGACGAATACTCAGAATCAAGAACCATGTAGCCACCTAAGTATAATAGAGCCGAATATTTTCAGAGAAGTTATATGGGTCATTAGCATATTTAAAAATAACAAAGTCTGTGGCCCAGATGATATATCATCTGAAATAATCATCTGAATTAAAGTCACTGGAAAACTTAGAACTGACATGTTTCGGAGACTGTGTCGGAGAATATGGGATACTCAAAAGTAGTTAGATGAGTGGGCCAAATCCATCTTCATTCCACTACACAAGAAGGGCTCTAAAAAGAAATGCGACAATTACAGGCTTACAGCTTTGATGTCGCACGCCATCAACGTTATGCTCCACATTTTTCATGGTAGAATCAGAGAGTCTTCTTAGACAATCAAATCCTACAAGAACAAGCGCGCTTTATGAAAGAGAGGGGAACACTCAGCAGATTTTAAACTTGAAACAAATAATACAATAGAAAAGGTATGGGAATACAACATGCCAGTATACTTATGTTTCGTGAACTATCAAAAAACTTTCAACACCGTCTCTGGACGAAAATGGATCTGTCTCTGGAAAATCCTAGATAAAATGGCCCTATCTGAACATCTTATTACTCTCATCAAATCACTTTATGAAAATAACTTAGTATACGTCAGAATTGATAATGATAGATCACCTGGGTTTCACACCAGAGCTGGAGTGCGTCAAGGCTGCGTCCTGTCTCCCATCCTCTTCAATACTTATAGCGAATATGCCATGAAGAAGATTCTTGACTGGTGGGACCGGAGATTTTCTGTTGGTGAATATAGAATAAACAACTTGACATATGGATCACACCACCTTAATTGCTACCTCCATGCAGGTTTTGGAGAAGTTTATCAAACGGATAGAGACAGCGCGAAAAATTAGGCCTCAAATTAAATCGCCAAAAGATCAAGGTCATGATCATTGATTGGGAAAACAATAACCGGACATTCTTCAGGTAGCGAGATGCGAAATGATCCTAAAATTGATGTAAAGGATGTTTTTTTAAGCCCGATAGAACTTACAACTGTAAAAACTAGCACAAAAATGCAATTAATATAATAAAAAATTTTTTTTTATTCGAAAGATTAATGTATGGCATTAACAATTGAAAATGATTTCGGGCATATGGCCACCGCGGCTCTTGACGAAGCGCATTCTGGACGTCCAATTTTGAGTGACTTTTTCGAGCAGTGCCGGCCGTATGTCACGAATAACACGAACAATGTTGTCCTCCAAGCGTCAATTGTTGCTGGTTTATCAGCATAAACCAGTGACTTGACGTAGCCCCAGAGGAAATAATCGAGAGGGGTCAAATCGCACGACTTTGGAGGCCAATTGACAGTTCCATTTCTCGAAATCAATTTATCGCCAAATTTTGATTTCAATAAGTCGATGGTTGCGGTCGACGTGTGGCACGTAGCGCCATCCTGTTGAAACCACATCTCGTCCGGATCAATGTCATCCATATTTTCAAATAAAAAATCATTGATCATGGTGCGGTAACGATCTCCATTGACCGTAACGCGAGCTCCGGCCTCATTTTTGAAGAAATAAGGTCCGATGATGCCACCAGCGTGTAAACCGCACCAAACGGTGCATTTTTCTGGATGTAATGGAGTCTGTAGGATCTCTTGTGGATTGTTCTCATTCCATATGCGGCAATTTTGCTTATTAACAAACCCGTTAAGCCAAAAATGAGCCTCATCGCTGAACACAATTTGTCGATAAAACAACGGGTCAGTTGCCAACTGCTCTAGAGCCCAATAGGCGAAAGCCGATTCAAGCGTGAGTCTATTCATAATGATTTGCCAGTGTATACTGAAAGAAATAAAAAAAATTTTTTTATTAAAATTTAATTTTTTGTTTTATTTTTTACAATTTTAAGTTCTATCGGGCTTAAAAAAACACCCTTTATTTGGGTACGATACTCTCAAATGGGCGGCAGCAGCATGAAGATACAGCGGATCGAGATGGCAAGGGGTGTCATGTCTCAGCTTACAAAAATATGGCAGGACACGCAGACATCAACAACACCAAAATACGACTTGTACAATCTCTCGTTTTCTTTATCTTTCTGTATGGAGCGGAAACATAGACAGTCGGCTAAAAAGATCATGACCGTATCAATGCGTTCGAATGTAGTGTTGCAGGAGAATGCTGAGGATTCCCTGGACAATTCGACGCACAAATATCTCTATCCTTGACGAACTTGAAGGATTCGATTGGGTACAATCGTATCCGATCGAATTTGGAATATTTTGGACATATAATGCGTCGAGAGAACATTAACAAGACCATCGTGGAAGATAAAATACAGGGTAAACGGCCACGTGTGGTAAATCGCCACTAAGATGGATAGATCAGGTGAAAAAACTGATTGACAAGCCCCTTTAAGAGACCGCGTCCCGGGCGCTGGATAGAAAAGAGTGGCGTGTCGCCATCAAAAAAGCGATTTTTCCAGAAAATCACGACGCCTCATATTTGAGGCCATCAACTTAGAATAAGAAATGGACATTATTAATTGGATGCCATTTGGATTGAAAAATAATCAGCCACATTTCAAAGACTTATAAATTCTGTTGTAACGGGATTACAGGTATTAAATTTTTGGTATCTCTAGATGACATAGTTACATATGGAGCAAGTTTGAAAGAACACAACACAAGGTTCATCAAAATATTTAATAAGCTACAATAGCATAAATTGAAATTACAGCCGGAGAAGTGCGAATGATTTAGAAAAGAGGTCATTTACCTAGACACATAATAACTGATGATGGAATTAAACCAGGACCAACTAAATTAAAAACAATAAGTAAATTTCCTATCCCTACGAAAATAAAAGAAATTCAAGCATTCATAGGACCATCTAGATATTACATGAAATTTATTGAAAATTTTTCTAAAATTGCTAAATCTTTAACGAAACTTACGAAGAAGGAAGAACCGTTCGAATGGATAATCAAACAACAAACTGCTTTTAACTTGTTAAAAAATAAATTGATTATCCGTATTACAGTATTCAGATTTTACACGAGAATTTCTTGCGACGCATCTGATTATGCGATAGAAGCTATAATATATTATCTCAAGGAATCATAAGGCAAGATAGGCCAATAACATATACTAGTCGTGTACTATTACGAGCCAAGCAAAATTACAATACCATTGAAAAGAAATTATTAGCCATTGTATGGTAGTGATGAATGATATAGAATCGCTATTAGCAGTATCGATATTTTCCATCTTGAATGTCGATATTTAGTATCAATACTTCGCGCATTGATATTTCATGTATTGATACTCTGCTTATATCGGTTTTTGATACTCGTTTTCTTGGGATCTAGTGTATTATATACCCTTGGTAACAGTGGTCACCCTGACAAATGCAAAATTCTTTTTAAAGCACGTTAGGAGCTGCCACAGACATAGTATCTCTAAACCGAGCATTCAAGGAATGGGGATAGCCCTCATTTCGAAAAGGACGCACTCACTTGGTGCAGGTACATTCTCTCTCGTTTCGTGCATGTGTATAAAGTGTACTCTGAGAGAGGGGATCGAAAGAACGAAGAAGCTCAGCGGGCTAATCTGACTAACAAAAATTCCGAGCCAAAACACGTCCGTTCCGGTTCGTGCTCGTCATGAGACTTTCACAGAACATATACGAGACTCTCTTCGATCTAACTGTAAGCTGTTACATTTCAATTCCTCGTTCTCTCTTTCCATTTCCTCTCTCGGAGATACACTTTATACGTATGCGCGAAACGAGAGAGAACGTACCTGCACCAAGTGAGTGCGTCGTTTTCTAAATGAGGGCTACCCCCACTCCTCAAATTTTTGACAATGCTCGGTCTAAAGATACTATGTCTATTGGGGCTGCGTACAATAAGAGGAACAAGAAATAACGAATTTTAACCTATCAGAAATCGAATATACCAGAATACACAGTTTCTGATAGATTATAATTCATTATTCCTTATTCCCTCTAATGTGTCCCTTAAGCCCTGCGCACAATAAAAAGAATAAAAAATTAACAATAAGAATAAACGATTTTAACATATTAGAAATCAGATATATCGGAATACACGGTTTCTGATAGGTTGAAATCGTGTATTCTTTATTCCTAATTCCTTATTCTTTCTATTGTGCACAGGGCCTTAAGGTCTTTTTCACCAACCTCAGTGAAGCTAACGAAATTTCGATTCTCTGATATTTTGATGCCTATAATTAAAAAATAGTTTCCTCTCATCAATATTCCATCCCCATCTAATGATTTTCCTCTCTTTTTCCTCCAAAATATATAAATATTGTCAAAAATTGCTGACAATGTCACTGTAATTACACGAAATTTCGTACATAACAGTCTTATTAATCGTTATAATATATTTCCATTAATATTCTTCTAACAAAATAGCATTGCATTACTATATTACATTGATAATTGTATTGTGAAAACACGAGTAAGTTTTTATAATTAAGTATACTTAACTTATTAATTAAATAAAAATAACTTATAGATATTTGTTTTATTAGAATCTAGTAATCTCGTACATACAGTTATCAAGAATAAAAAAATTTTTATTTTACTATAAAAGAGATTATGAAGACAGGACTAATTTTTGGAATTTTGTATTGCGACATGCTCATGTTCTAATTTAGTACTATATTTAACATTTGCTTTCTCTTGATTGTATACATTTATATTCTCTTGATGATGGTCACAACTTGACCAAACGGTTTACATGTAATTGATTTTAAATATATGACTTATGCAAAAAAAATTTACGTATGTGGCTGTACTCTTTCTTATTTATGTTCTATGTTATCGAGTTATCTCTAAGAATTTTGTTTTAAATTTTATTTATTTTCTAAGTATAATTGTTTTATTTACAATTAGCATGATAAAGACGATAGAGATAAAAACTGGAGAGTCTGGATAATATCCATCTCTTGAACAAGTCTAATCTGCACCATCACTATCATATTTCTTCAACCAGATCAATTATTTCAGCACCGCATTTAAAACATGTTACATTGAAGCAAAAGCAACCGCGGCTTAATACAGTTTTCGCTACGCAAAAATCCTTTCGAGGTAAATCAATGTCTCTCTATCTTGTTGCAATAACTATTGTACAAATATAACAAACTACATTTTATGCATTAATTTATATTTGTTTTAATTATCTATAAATAATAAGTTATAAATAAAATGAACATGTGTATCTAATTCGACTTTAAACAGATCAAAATCAGCAGAGGTGATCAGCAAGTTGCTTTATATGATTGCAAAGAATAATTTGCCTTTTTATATAGTGGAAAAAGAAGGATTC